GAACACTGGTCAGGCCAATTACTAAGATTTTAATTACAAACTGAGCCCTGAAGCCTGGATGCAGCACTTTATCCCTCAACACCCCCCCCCCCCGACTCACATCCCATTCCTTTTCCTCCAATCCCCCATTCCTTGACTCACCCCAGTGCACCGCTAAGCCAATTGTGGACATCAAGTGTGGCTAACAAAGAGCAATGAGAGGTTTCCACGGCTACTAACAAAGCCTCTTGTCTAATCTCTTGCCAGTGGAGGAGCTTACCGAGCTTGACTTGGCCAAAGCAGAAGATGCAGCCGTCTGCGCCGTTCACCACCGACTGGATGACCTCGGCGACGGTCCCTGAGCACACCTCAGCCTGTGAAAAACACACAGAGACATGCGCCCTCACAGTCAATTATCCATTCAGCCTCATCCGAGGAATACAGTACAACAGGCCTACATGAGAACAATGAATCCAAACTGGTAACATATTAACCAAGCAGCTATTTACTGGCTTCACCAAATCACCTTAATGGTTTCAGTATTTTTCATCACACTGGATTGTGTGTGTGTGCTGCAATGTGGAGCTCATTTTTGCAATCTGTTTCAGCATGGGTCCTCTGGGGCAGGGCTTCTGGAAGGAGAGGCCCTTTCCCCATACATCACGCAGCAAACAAGGCCTCTAACAGCAAAGCAGCTTGCTGTTACCGTTAGCCACCAGCAGTGCCGTCCCAGCGGTGCAATCTAGCAGCTTGGCCTCAGCGCCTTGGCGGCAACACTTAGGCTTTCGCTACCAGCAGATTACTGTGCAAAATACTTGCTCCAAGTAGGTGGTAAGATAGAAGATCTGAGGCTCTCATCACCACAGAAACACTGTCCCACATAGTGATGACAATCTCCTCTGCCCTCGGCTATTTAGAGCTTACTGCACCACGGGGAAATGAGTGAAATATTTGACCTCAGGTTTTTCTAAAATTTTGCAGGGCTGATAAACTGCATTATAAAAAGTGCTGTTTGTTTAAAGCTATGGGGAGAGCATGGCAAGTGTGCACCTACAGTTCCAATAGAGTAAACATGTATATGACCTTTGTCTTAGTTCTTAGTGGGTATGTCTGCTGTGAGCTGCAGGGGCCTGCGGTTAGATATAGCTGTTCTATGAAAGGAGAGGTTAGATATAACTGGAGTGGATTCAAATCATTCCCCAGGGGCCTTAAAAAGCCCAGCTGCTAGAGCCACACTGGTACAGACGCCCTCTGACCCAAGACAAGCATTTCTCCTCTAAGCCCCTGGCCACACCCTGCCACAGCAGAGTGATGTCCCTTTGCCCTTGAGATGCTGAACTCCTAAACAACACCTTATAAAACCTCCACACATACACACACACACACATACTCATACTGGTCCTTACTTGTGAGGCATCCTGGGTGAAAACAGCATCGAAGGCGAATATCTTTGGGACGGCCACGGTGGCAGATCGCCTGTGTCCTGAACTGGAGTGTGGCGGGCTGGACGCGGGATCGTAGAGGGTCAGCTGCTTCTTCCTACTGTCCACTTTCAAAAAAGACTGAGACTCTGAGGAGTCTGCCGCCTCCAGAGACGGACAGATACGCATCATCACTTTCACCTGAAGAGAAACAGAAAGTAAAAAAGGGTGGATTAAAAAGTGAGATGTGGATAATGGGAATGCATTTTTTCTGATCGAGCAGATTCGAGGAAAAAAAAACCCACATCATACTTAACATCTATTACTCAAGGATAATGCACCATGGGTATTCTGAACATAGGTTAGGATCCTAACTGTGAGCCTGGCTCAGCATTGTGCATTAACGTCACGTCCACTATGTCAGAGTTGATGGACATGGGAGGTTGCCATGGAAACACTGGGTCTTGCATTGACTTGGCGAACTCAGTGGGTCGACACATTGTCTAATGGTGTCAGTGAGGCAGCAAGGTGCGAGACAAAAGTCATAGCAGAAAATGGTGGACATTAATGTGTGTGAGGTGCCGTGCTGCGAGGATTATCCCTCGAGTGGGTTGTTTTTCTGGACCAGGTGCGACTAGCCAGCATGGGAGAGCAGGAGCATATGGCCCCCTCCCTTACTCTCATCCCGCCCACCCACTCACTCTTCCTCCTTCTCCTATCCGTCCCCCCTCTATTGCCTGGAAACTGGCCACGCCGCATTAAGAAACTCGAAACTCGCCCTGTTGCATTCTGGGGGTTGACATTCATGGAGTGGGCTTACAGTCTTTACACATTCCACAGGTCGTGGTGCAGTTCTTTAGGCCCGCATTGGTACGCTAACTAGGATGACGGCTTATGTCTAAAGGTGTTGATTGGGCAGCGCCCTGACAAGCCTGTTTGTGTCTCACATTATTGCCATGGTTGCAGAGGTGAAGTCATTCAGTTGTGTATGACACCCCCACCCCACCCCCGTACAAACAACAGCAAAGTTCACCACTACCTGAATCCACCGTGCTCCCCTGTGTGTGGTTTGTGTGGGTGCCGTGTGCCAATATGACACCCCCATTAACAATGACCTTCTTTAGAAATCCTGATGACTCTATATTGCTTTACAATCTCATGGTCAGATATACCTCATTGCTTTTTTTCTGCAGAGGCACAGTAGAAATATATCTGAGACTGACAGGAGACATAAACAGCTCTTGGGATATGTATAGCGGCCTTTGGAGTCCCTGTCAACCCCCTGAGTGTTTAGTGTTACGCCAGCCATTATTTCAACGGAACAGTTTCTATATCCTGCAGTGTATATGATAGGGAACTCAATCCCGAAACATTTCAAAACCTCTTGAAAAAGTACATGTGATGCCTCGCAGGCATTGAAATAAAACCCTTAAAATACAGCTAACTCCCTTCTCCTTTCTGACAGATGACTGTTTTGCTCAGCTGGGGGACTGTACTGTCTTCACGCCCACACAAAAGGTCCATTCTTCCCCCGACTAGTATATAAATATTGCTACAGATCCAGACTCCCGCACGCTCCGAAGCAATGCTGCTGGAAATTCTTTTCTTTCAGTCGATGAATTCATCTTGGATTCCTGAGGCCAAGTGCAAACTCTCTTAAAACTCCGCAGGGGGCTGTTATCCTGACTGACGTGTGCATATGTTGAGTAAATTACGTTTGCTGTGATATTTAAACTGCGCTCCCACATTTGCGGAGTTGCCGTCGAGCAGACAGAGGCTACCAGGCGAACTCATGTCTCGGTTTTATTTATGTTGGCAGAGATCAGACACCGGAGGCCAGGGAGGATTGGCTACAGTATTTTCACACTTCAGACTCCGTGCTAATGGCCGCTGTTTCCCTGTCCCCTGATCCCCCACTAAATCCATTAGTGTGGCTTGGCATTCCTCCATCCACTCAACTGTCAATGCCTGAGGAGACAGGTCCAGGTCGAAAGTGGAGGGGTGGAAGTGACCCACATTTGAGTTGATGGAAACAAGACGTTCACTCAAGTCATGCACAATTGGATAATGTGAATTAATACAAAACAGACACAGGAAAAGCCAAAAACCAAGCAGCTATGCTGAAAATGTGATTCCACAAGTAAGAGACAAAGAAATAGAGAGCGAACTCAGATGTTTTTGCTTTTCAATGAGAAAACCTGAAACTCAGGTCTGATAGGTTTGGAACAACATCATAAATCTTGTTTCCCCTTTTAAATCCGGCCGTTGTGATGCACAGTAAACCTCAGGTGTGGGGACGCTTGTTAATAACACAGCCTTTTTTAATATGACATCCGTGTGTCAATTGGAGATTTACAGTTTGTGGCAGGATCTCGACCGTCTGGATACCTGGCAACAGAAGCGTGCACTTCCTATCCAGGTGGGATCTAATCTTGTTCGGGGGACTTCTTCTGCTTTATAAATACAGGACGCCGGCTCTGACAAACAATACCCAATAAACCACAAAGGAAGAGCTATGTGTTTATACAGCTTTGTTTAATGACCGTCTTATTGCTGCCAGCCCGACTTTCATCGTCACACACTGTATACCTTAAATGGAATTAGAAATCCTGCTTTTGAGGGGACCGCAGATTTGTGAATTATAGTTTTCACTGTCTTTCTGTGTACAGGCGGAGGAAGCTGGTCGCACAAACTCAGTGAATTCATGACATTCCAGCAGGCTTATCTGACTGTATCTGTGCGGACTGTACCAGACGACACGCTGCCTCTAGGCCAGTGTGCCGCCACTCTGCATTCTCCCCTTCAATAAGGGTCTGTCTGTTTCTGTATGTGTGTGTCACATGTATTAACCATGCTTTATGTGTACTTTACAGGCATTCAAATCATGAGTTCAGCCTTGAGTCTTAGAGTACATGCCGGCTCTCACCTTTCCCATCCCTGGGTTCTCTTTTACTTTGGACACGGCTCGGAGCAGGCATGGCGGGGCGGGGGGCGGCGAGACCTGCAGGATTCCACTGAAGTTGGTGGGGTAGATGGAGGGCTCCTGTGGGTGGAGCAGCGAGGGCTGGTGCTTCTTGCGCTTGGAGGACAGATTCAGCTTCTGAGCTGCCCTGGAAGACAAATAGAAAAATGGAGATTGAAGCCAATCTTAGAACACAACTGCGCCATGTTCATGTATAAACAAATTGCTTTTAGCTCAGGTGTTGTTTTCTGGTGAGGTACACAACCAAAAGCTTAATTGTATACCTTGACATTTGTAAGGGTGTGCAGAAATCACAGGCTGTAATATAAAGGTCACCAAGCTCCTGTTAGTCTGCCAAAGCAAACAAAGTCAGCAGGAGAGCTCCACTACGCCACCACTCCCACCTTTTCTTCACTTTCAATATTCCTTTTTTTCAAACTCCCAACTCAGGCTCCCCGACAGAGAAGGTAATGATTCAGCCCACCAACTTCACCTGGAACCAGTGCACTTCTCCCCCACCTGGATATTTTATACAGAAACCACAAATCCATAAGATAAAAAAAAATAAAGGCCATTTAACTGTCAGGGACCATGTGACGGCTGTTATAGCAGGAAGGGCAGAGCAAGTGCATGAATTTATCTTGCTCAAACACAAAAAACTGTCACTGACATGACAGGCAAGGGCCTCTGAAGCACGGCCTCCTGGGATATAGTCATGTCCATTTCTGCAAGTACAACTAAGCAATTATGACAGAGTATGTTCCCCCATCATTTAAATCAAAGCTGGAGCACGGAACTGTACGTCTGGAGTTTTGATCCTTTACAATTAAATGAGGTGGACAGAGAGGCAGGCAGGTGAACCCAGCTCCCTCCTCTACCTTAGTGGAATCTTAATGGACAAATGGCTCTTATCCCTCTGTTGTAACTGGATCCAGCTCTTTGAGAGTCCTCTAATTAAAATCCACTGTCATCCCGGCCGAGTGTCTCCCAGAGACAGCACTGAGGAGACATAGATTGGCCACAGGGCCGAAAGAGTCTGGCACATACACAATCCATTCTGTCTAGATTCCTGCAGCTAAAAGGGCAGCACCAATATTCCTGCCTGGCCTGCAGGGAATCAAGCCAGACGCAGAGTACTTCCAGGTATGGCATCGCCCTGGATCAGCTAACACTGTACCTCAGCTGGAAATTCAAGGTCAGGGAAAGAAAGTAATATGCCAAGGACATCCAATGCACTCAAACGGTTTTTTTTTTCTATTCAAGCAGTGGGGATTCAGAGAAATGCATTCAAGGCAAAGATGTGATTGCCAGCATGAAGTAAAATAGTGGCACAGGGAGTGAATGAAAATTGCAGGGAGAAATTAAAAGATGAAAAATCTGCAGAGCGAAGGGATTTTAGGAGAAGTGGAAGAAGCGGGGCACATGAGAAAGAGGGAGGGAGCAAATAAAAAGTGCAGACCCATGTGTGTCCTGGTGAGCAGTATTTTCCTAAGAGGTCAGCCTGAGCTCATTAGTCCTGCACCGGGCTCCTCTGAACAGCACTGGGTGGGCTCCAGCCAAAAACACAACCCAGCCGCCCCCTCCTCCCCTCCCCTTGTCTCTCCCTGCATCTTAGAATGACAACCACAGCCCCTCCTCTGCTCAGCGGTCCCCTCTCCCAACTGTACGCCCCCTGCAGCGACAGCCCAAGAGTACAATCAGGGAACACACTACCGGCTGATGGAATAATTATTGCAACCAAGGGGGCTACAGGAGAAGCCTCTCCCTGGGGAGCTGCCCATGTGTGATAGCATGCGAGACGGATCGTGTGACGGGGAGGAAGAAAAATGAGATGGAATAGATGAATGTGAGATGGAGAGAAGGAAAAAGGGGGAAACTACACCAGAGTACACGTGGCTGTGTGTGTGTGTGTGTATGCACATTTATTAGAGATATCCACAGCACGTTCGTTCAAGATAGATGCGCCCTGTCGCTCCATCTCCATCTCACTCCCTCTTTTCTCACCCCATTCTCTCTCTTCTTTTTCCGGCAAAGACATTAATCAGGCACTAGGTACCGGGAGTCACCATAACACACAACATATGGAGGAAAAAAGGCGGCACTGTACCGATTTATAATTGTCTTGACCAGTGAGGAGTGCTCACTAGCGAATGCCGTGCTTGTAACCTTGAGATTTAATTCATGCTGCACAATGGTGCACATGTGTTCTTCAGTGGAAGGTGAGAAAAAAAGGGGATGGTTTGCTTTTTTCTCACCACAACCACATGTACACAGGGAAATTAATTGCTTGTCACCTTCTCTCCCTCCCTGTTCCCTCCCTCCTTCTCTCTCTCTCTCCCTGCGTTTCCCGACTACGCGATCAGTCAATGGGAAATAGGCTGCGTGAGGAGAGGCTCAGATTTCTTCGACAACAGCTTGTCCACCTGTTCACTCCCCATCTCCATGCTAATGAAGCTGTTTACTTGCACAACTTAGTCTAAATGCACAGAGGAGGGTGTGTGCACGAAGCCGAGGGTCTGGTCTGGTATCAGTGTTGAGTTTGTGCAAAATATTCTCATGCAGTGTCTGGTGTGAACATGCACCAGTGAGAAAATGCTGCACTGTTGTACTTACAGCTCTTTCCAATCCATTATCTAGTTTATGGTCATAGTCAAAAAAGAGACGACTGATAGAGTTCAACTTTGCGGTCAATGTCTGTGTTGTCACTGTTCTCCATTACTTGCACATTTGATACGCTGGCACAGTCGGCGAAAGCACAGCACAAGGCGGGGCGGCTCACTAGTTGGGGCACAGGGGTCCTTTTTGCTCCGATCGCAATCATCGAGGTTCCACTTGATTTCACAGACGTTTGTGAGAAGCTGGAGGGGTGGAGGGATGATGAGAAGGAGGGGGCGTGGGCGTCATAGTAACCAGAATGGAAGAAGCGCCAGGTGGGGCAGGGTGGAGGTGGGCAGACAGGATGGGTATCCTGCAGGAGAAAAGCAGTAGGACCACAGCGAGAGGGAGGTGTGCAGGTATAGTCCGGAGAGCTTCTCAGGAGGAGGCGGATGTGAAGAGGTGAGGATGAGAAAGAGAATCTCCTCTGTTAAAAGCACCTCCAACTCTTTCCATCCCTCCTCACCAGCAAAAGTTCAGCGTCAGTTCAGAGACGCAAAAACCCAGCAGCAGTTTCCTCTCCAAGCTTTTCACTGCTTCTTTCACAATCCATTCATCCCACAGGCTGCACAGTTTTCCTCTCATTCGGTTAATCCACTGTGGTGTGTCTGCTCTCGAGTGGCTGCAGGTCCTGATGCCCAGGTCCTTCCCAGAGTCTGTGCTGCTCACAGGCAGGAGGTGGGTGGGGGGAGAGAATCAACACGCCTGGCTAGCCTGGAAAATTTCCTTGGGTGGCTGAGAATGAGGAGAATTCCTACTCCGGTTCCGCCTCTCGGTCCCTCTCCTGCTATCGGTGAAATGCTGGCAGCTGTCCTGCCGTGTTTCTCCCTCTCTCTCTC